CACTCTGTAACATAAAACCCCCTTGTGCGATGGTTCTCCACCGTTAACACCTATCCTCTTACCACCGTCCATAATAAAAATGCCACTCGTGGGGGCAGTTTACATTTCCATACCATCTTCTAGGGGAATGAGCTCTCTTCAGCTCCCGACAGAGATCTAAAATAGGTGCGAATGGAAAAAATACCATCTCGTGTCAAGATTAATTATCCGTTCGGAAATCAAGGTTTGACATAAGGGATCGTGCTAGTGGAAGTGAATCCATTTACTAATTGGTTTCATTGGTAGCGCTAGCGGAAGTGTGTTTTTATGTAAATGATATTCTCAAATAATTGTAAGTGCTGTGATGAAAGTAATATAGAGATTATCCTGGTTTTTTGTTCGGTAGTTCATTTTATGTTTGACCAGTCAAGTTTGAGTTGAAAACGGAAATTGTATGTATTATACATAGTTCCTTTGTGAAAAGAATGTATCATGAGGTAGAGACTTTATGTGTGTGAATTGGAGCTCAAGCATTTAGATAATGACAAGATAAACAGATGAAGTTATATATTCAAGGGGTAAGTTTAACCAATTCACGAGTATTTCCTGGATGAAAAGCAAGTCTTGAGAATTCACAATTTTTTCCTTGAATTTACCTATTTAAATTCATATTTATGCCGTAAGTACTTTTGTGCCAATGGCAGACGAGTGTGATAAGTATGGGATAAGACTCTATTGAGTTAAGTTTTGTGCCATGACATCTTTTTTGTCCAGTTTCTGTTGAAATGTTGGTTTGGTTCTGAGTGCAGTAGTACGATATCACTATCCATGATGAATTAGCTTATATCCAGATTTTTCTTTTTGAATTTTCATATATTTATTTTGACAGGGATGTTTCAAAAACATCAGAAACTGCTCACCCTGTGAAGATGAAGTACACTACATTGGTATATTTCCATTGACTCTGCATGTACTATATATCTTACATTTTCTTTTCTGCTTCTCTTAGGTTTTTTTCGTTGGTTTATTTGGGGGGTGGGGGCAGTTGGCATCATTGAGAGGGAGAAAGGATACTTGGGTTTTCAATCCCCCTATGCATTGCTGTTCTGTCTTGTGTCATTCTGTATCTGAGTAAAACAATATTGTGGTAAATCACTATTTGTTTTTCTTTTAGTTGCATCTAGTTAATATCGATATTGTTGACATGATTCTGTAGATTTCTCTGAGTGGTCATTTGTTTGATCAATTCCTGATAAACGAGGCTCTGGATATCATTGAAGCAGCCGGGGGTTCTTTCCACTTAGCGAAGTGCCAAGTTGGTCAAAATACAAATGATATGTCTTATTCGGAACTTAAAGTAAGTAAGCTATTGTCCAATATTGTTTTCTATAAGAGGACTGCATGTGAAGTGTACATGTGAAAGTTATGCACAAACTCTACATTTTAGATACCACTTATTGCTTTATATTTCAGAAAGACGTTGAGCACCAGCAAGTGTACCATTGTGTATGAAATTTTTCCACTTTATTATGGAGTCAGATGATGGCAGGGTGCAGATCTTTCAAATAATTCCAATATGGATATCTGGTGCGGAAGCGTTTAGAAATTCTTGTAATAAGAATTGAAAATAAGAATTATATTGGAATAATCTTGTTTTATATTGATATATGATTGATTGATTAAAAAGTGTATAATACCCCTATATTTATATGCCAAATTATCCCTAATCCTATTAATAAAAGGAAATTAAAATA